CTCTCTCTCTCTCTCTCTCTCTCTCTCTCTCTCTCTCTCTCTCTCTCAAAAGTGACTAAACACTAAAAAAAATTTTTTTTGTTAATCTAACAATGCAAATTTGAACAGACAGAATTGATCAAATAGAGTGCCATGTGGTTCAAAGTGTCCTCAAATTTACAGCATTTCTTAAGTGGAGTTCAGCATGCTTCACATGGCAGTATTCAAGTTTTAGTAAAATCTGAATGTCTAGCTAGAAATTGTGAGGAAATTGGTCTCTGAGGATTTGTATCTGTCAAAGTCTGACTTGAGCTAAGGAGTTGTGGAAGGAGATGAGGACCAACTGAGAAATGGTAAGAAGGTCCCAAAGTTGGAGAATTACTTTCCAGCTGTGAAAATGGTTTCTCTAGAAAACATGACCCGCCAAATGACTTGCTATCATCTTGGCCTTTGTTGCGTGCGTGTGTATGTGAAAAAGCATTTGTTTTTGTCCTTTAATGAAACTTCTGTATAGAACATCTAACTACAGGATGAATAGCTTACCATGGGCCCAGCAACTGGTAGGTTGGTTCTTTCTAGAAAAGGCCTCTTTATGAGGAAAAAAAAAAGTTAAATGCTAAAATGGAATTACCAATTCAACCAACTCCCCCCCCCTTAAGTATTTCTAAACCAGTGTAAAGATGCAAAACCAATATAATGGCCCAGTCTCATTTCTGTAACAGTAAGATTGCTATAAATAAAAAGAATGACTTAAATACTGAAAGGCTTTTACATTTAACACGTGCCACTTATTTCTAGGTTATTCAGATTCTGGTAAATGCATTGCATCGTTAAGTATTACTCCTAATATTATTCATAGTACAATGGATATCAGTTCATTTCGCCCCACCTAAAAATACCGGTTAACTTCAAAAAATAAAAACAAAAGTGGGGCCCATGACAATCATGCACCCTAAGTGGTAAGACGTGTAAACTCTCCTTACTTGCTATCACTATGAAGGATAACCTAGTCCTTAGTTTTTCAAATGGTAATTGGTATCTCTCAAACTTTGTGGAGCACCTTATATATATATTTTTTTCAGGGTTTTTAGTTTTGGGACAGAGAGAGACAGAGCATGAACGGGGGAGGGGCAGAGAGGGAGACAGAATCTGAAACAGGCTCCAGGCTCCAAGCCATCAGCCCAGAGCCTGACACGGGGCTCGAACTCACGGACCGCGAGGTCGTGACCTGGCTGAAGTTGGACGCTCAACCGACTGCGCCACCCAGGCGCCCCGGAGCACCTTATATTCTTAACCAATTGGTTTTAATTAGGCTGAGAAGCTTACAGTGGTGCCCATTTAAACCTTTGACTAAGGCTTGCGTACCTGCCTTTTTTTTTTTTTTTTTTTTGCCTTTAATAGAGGCAAGTAATTGTTTTCTTCCCTGGTGTGTATTTTCCAGAATATCCCTTAACTTTTTCCAGAGGTCTCCGAATGCTCTTCAGTAGTACTTCTCACTTTGCACTGTAATTGTCACTTTTTTTTCTTCCCGAGTAACCTATTCTTTGGGAATAAAGAACCTCTTAAGTTCGATCTCTACACGAACTGCCAATACCTGTAAGTTTTATTGTTACTTTTCTACCCACTGAAGTTGAACCACACGAAGGTACCAATATCCGTCTATCTGAAACAATTTCATATGGTTCAACCTAGTATAAGCTTTAACTGAGAACTTTTTTCTTGCTGTGGAAATACTAGCAGTTTACATGCAGTTTTTCCATTGAAATACCAAGAATTCATCAAGTTTACAGTGTATTGCCAGAGCCTCTCAAACTTGGAGCAGATGAATCCCCAGGGGATCTTGTTAACATGCAGACTTGGCTTCAGGAAGACTGGGGTAAGGCCTGAGATTCTGCATTCCTAACAAGCTCCCAGGTGGGGCCCATGCTGTGGTTCATGGACCATGCTTAGAATAGCAGGTTCTGGACTACAGTATGAGGAGTTGACCTGTAAATTCTAGATCTATTAGCTATCTGACTTGGTCACTTAATTTTTCTGGGCCTTTCTGTAACATGCAGAGATTCAGTTAAATGGTCTATTCCTTCCAAGTCCAAGGATCTGCTCAGATCCTATTTAAGTGACTAGAGTATACAGCATAAAGGTTAGGAGCCACCAGCTCAATCCTTAGCCTGGGGTTAAGCATCCCAGCTTTTCCACTTACTGTGTAACCTTAGAGAGTTACCTAATCTCTGTGCCTCATTTTCCTCATCTGTAAGACTGAACTAACATTAAATTTATATGTGGAGTGTTTAGGACTGAGCCTAACACATAAACATAAGATATTTTCAACACTAATATATCCTCTGTAGTGTCATTTCTAACAAGCTTTCCTAAGGGAATAACCTGAAATGTGAGCAAATACTTAGAGTGTATGGAAAGAGGTTTATCACCAATTTCATCAAAACCTAGGAAGCTACATCTATTTGCAACAATACGAAAAGGGTTACTTACAGTACATATTATGGAATGTGCCTATTATAAGGGTTCAAGATACAATTTGAAATGGTGAGAAAACAGGATATAGAACTGTTCTAACAGGTCAAGTTGAGGATTTCTTATCTGGTTAACTGGGGGGAAATGCCCTAAAATATTAAGTGATTGTTATGACCCAAGTAACAGTGTTATAGGTGACTTTTTTCTTCCTATATTTATGAATTCTATATGAAGTACGAACAACTTACATTCAGCAAAAAACTAATCTTTAACATGTTTAAATCTCCCCATCCTGCAACAATATAGTAAGGATTTCAGCTTCTGTTATGCCAAAACAGTTCCAGAAGCATTACAAATAAAAATCAGAAGTCACTTAACACAGCACTCAGTGCCAAACTAATGACTGAAAAGAAAAACGGACATGCTCATTTTTTAAGTTCTGAGCAAAAATGAGATGGTTGGGTATTGAAGCATTAAATGGCCAAAGCGGCTGTCTTGCTGTGTCACAGACACCAGGGAAACTGGAAAACACAGGAGCCGGACTTGAGACTTTGCAGTTTAGAATAATGTCGGAAACAACCAGCATCGTACGTGTGTTTAAGTAGACTTTCAAATAGAAATTTGGTGGTCTCCATACCACACTGATTCAATTTGTGTTTAGGTAACATAACGGGTCAGGAAAAACCCATTTGAAATGACTGGAGGGAAAATCCATTATGCTTTTTAGATCTATTCCTTATATGTATTTTCCCCAGACTGAGCTAGCCCATTCATATCTTGAGAAACTCAGGAAAAATACTTGCTAGTAGTCTTCTTAGCCATCAGTTTCTCTTTAAAGCTGCCATGATCATAACTGGAACCTAGTCTAGGTTGAATGTCTTCTGATTTGCCAAAGAAGATTGGGGGCTATTTCATCTTGTCACTGTAGGACATGGATTGAGAAGAAAGTTTGCATAAATTTTTCTATGCCACTGTCAGACAAAATTCCTCATCCTTAATTCATACTTGACTTTTCAGTACTTTGCGCTTCTCATGTTGTGAGTAGACCTCCTCTGATTTATGGATGTTTGATTCTCTCCCTTCCCAGTAATCTCAACCTGAAAACTAGAAGAAAAAGAACGTCTGAATAAAAACTACTTTTCAATCCCTGGCAAATCATTTTTCTTTGCCTCTCTCACTCCTTCATTCTAGAACCTTGATTAAAGGGATTTCTGCCTTTTAAAACTCAGGCGTTTTCTTAAAGAAAATTGGAAACATTAGCTTTGCAGCTAACTTTGTGACTGATTGCAGTGTAACCCTGGGTAACAAATTGTCATACAGAAAAAAATGGTCTAACACCTATCAACACTTTCTCATCCTTTAACTTCTGTATATGTTTTATAATGTAGTGGTATTAAAGACATGTAGCTAAGTTGAGCACAGTAACCTGCCTTGTCTGTGGAAGTATGTTCCAAGACCTTCATTGGAGCCCTGAAACTGCAGATTGTACTGAACCCTTCATATACTAGACCTATTATCCTGTACATAAATACCTATGATAAAGGTAAGCTTCCAAATTAAGTACAATAGGAAGTGGAAAATAAACTGAATTGTAATACATACACTGTAATAAAAGATGAATGCAGTCCTTCTCTAAACACTGTACTGTAATCACCCTTCTTGTGATGGGAGACCAACTGCCTCTGCGATAACTTGAAGTGGGGTCAATGACCCTGGGCATTGTGAAGTCACTATGAACACTACTGACCTTTTTGAGGATTTGTCAGGATTATCTGCTTCCAGACCAGTTGGTTGCAGGTAACTGAAAACATGGATAAGGGGAGAGTACCACATGTAGAAACTATTGTGAGCATGCCCATTCATGGAGTTCTGAAAAATGATGGAATTTTGAGATCACCACTTTCAAGTCTGCCAACAAAAGCATAATACTGGAACCTATATTTATCAAATTCTCATTGAGCTCCTATATGTCCCAAGTTGTTCCAGATGTTAGGAATCCATAGGCCTAGGAATAAATAAGGTGGGCAAAGCCCCAATTCTTGTGAAGCCCGTAAAAGAGCTAGACCATGTACGAGTGAACAAAGAGGCATGATCTAAGATACTGTGACTTTCACTTATTCAATGTGTGTCTGTTGATTATCTGCTATGAGCCTAGCACTGTGCTAAGCATCCCACAAAAAAATGTGGTCCTTTCATTGTGTTTATACTCCACTTGAGGTGGCAGACCTTAATTACAACTGTGATATAAAGAAATATTAGGGTACTACCTATTCAGGGGAGGCGGGAACTAATAAGGCAGAAAGGTCTTTGCGAGGATGTTGTTCAAGGCAGGGCTTTGAATGCTACTGATTTACTGAAGTAGCTTTATAGCAGAAGGTAGTTGGTAAGAGATGCGCTGTCTCCAAGTAAGGGATAAGGAGCAAGGGGTCTCTGATGCTCCCGCTGATCAGATTATTTTTAACTGTAGATTTAAAGAAGATTCTGGTCCAAAGACTGCTATCTAATACCTTAGGCCTTACAAAGTACTTGCGAACTCTCAGGTGTTCCACATCTACACTGGAATATAAGGAAGTGCTTTAAATCCTGTATATAAAAGCAACACAAGTGCCTTTTTTCTTTTAATTTTTAATGTTTATTTTTGAGAGGGGAAAGGGGCAGAGAGGGACACCCAGAATCCAAGGCAGGCTCCAGCCTCTGAGTTGTCAGCACAGAGCCCGATGTGGGGCCCGAAATTACCAACTGCAAGATCATATCCTGAGCTGAAGTTGGATGCTTAACCGACTGAGCCACCCAGGTGCCCCCACAAGTGCCTTTCCTAAACTCAATTTCTAAACTATAAAACTGGATGTGATCCTTCCATTGTAGGGTATACCTGAAATTGTGAATGGTGCTCAGTGGGGCTGTTTCGTGTACAGAATTTTCTGAATATTCATTATGGACTTGAAGAGACCGTGGGGCTGCTGGGAGTTGGCTGCAGAGTTGAAAGGGAAGGCTGGAGGGAAATGTCAAAAGGAAACTCCCAATGTGATTAGTGGGTGTATGAAGCTTCCCAAAGACCCCACACCACCTGAGGAAATCAGACCCAAGTGCCAAGAGGCTCTGTAGGCAGAGAACAGATGGGAGGAGGGGGCACCTCATATAGGAGACCCACCTCCTATTCAACAATCTGATGTAAACATGTACTCTGCCTATATTTTAAACACTAGAATCCTCAGACTGCGTCAGGGTGGGGGAAAAAATCACTGCCTTATATTTTTTCCTTTTGCCTGTATTTGTTTTTGAGAGAATCCTATATCAGGAATGTTAATCACTTAGTGTAAAAAAAAAAAAAAAAAAGTTATATCTATCATTTCCTTTTTTTCCTGTAAGGCAAAAGACTAAACAATCTTAATGGTTATAAATTCAAACCTACCTTAATTCTTTTGTGGCATTTAGGTTTATCTTGTTTAAACTGTCAAGCATCTCTTCTCACTGATATGAATATTCTGGCATTTTTTTCTTCTGACTTTGCTGTGTTTCGATCTTTAATCTATGTGGAATTTCCTTTGTACATGGTGTGCAGAAGAATATTTTATTCTAGAGGGCCATTCACAGAAAAGGACATGCAAAGAGCCAACATACACAAAAAGGTGTGTTTCATACACAGAATTGCAAATTAAAGCAATGAAATGCCATTTTTTTCACACAACAGATTGAGCATTTTACATCCTTTGAAGTTTCACCAATGTTGGTGAGGCTTGGGAGAAATGAACTCCTACAGTGCTGATGGAAGTGTGAAATTGCTACTAACTCCTTGGAAAGCAATCTAGCAGAATCTAAGAGTTAAGATCCTCATACCCTTGCACAGGTCAATCCCATTCATAGAGAACATCTGTCCAAAATTAGCATGTGTTGCAATGTTTGTTATGGCACTGATAGTGATTTTTTTTTTTTAAAAACTAAGAACTGAAAGTCCAGTAGGGGAATGACTGGAAAAATCATAAATCAAGACGGGTCTATGGAATACTACGAAGCTATTAAATGAGTTATGGGCACATGTGGACCTACAAGAATGTGCATGATATATTAAAGCTCTACAGTCATGTTCTTTTTTAAATATGCTTTTGCATCATAGGGCTGTTTTTCTAGGTTATTTTTAGGAGGTAAGGTGAAGATAGCAGTAGTAGTTTTGAGAGGGCAGATTATCTTCTCCCATTCCTATTAAAATGCTACTAATGTGAGACTTAAATTTCTCCCCTAATGGCATATTTTAGAAGAACTGGACTAGGAAAGAAGTCTTGGTTCTGTTTTGATTTACGTGCCATGGGTATATCATTTTATTCCCAATCTCTTCTTCTAACATGATGAAGAAATAGGGAAATGTCAAATGCTTCAAGGTAATCCTAGGACAGGACGTTTCTCCTGCACTTCTTACATTTGCTATAGTTACATACCAAGATTTACAAGTTCACAAGTTAGTAACTCCATTCTGCCCCACTAGAAAAAGACCATCATTTTTTCACTTGAGATTAGTGCATTGATGCCTATACTTATGGAAAATGTACACTCAGCCTGGGTTACAGCTTGTTTTTCACAGAATCTTCCAATCATAGAATGTTAATTTAGAAGGAAATGAGTGGAATCAAAGCTCATCAGAATTACCTGCAGATTTTACAAACGCAGATATGCCTTATGCATACCCCAAATGTATAGATAGAACCAGAATATCCAGAAACAGCCCAGGAATGTCTTAAAAATGACAACCAAGGATGTATGAAATTTAAATGTTTGCAAAATCTCATTTTCCTGTACTGTGAGCCTTTGGCCCTTGATAATGGAGTTTTTGTGAAAGTAACCTACTGGGTTTGCCGTAGTGTTCGCCTCAGCCTCTTTAGTTCATCTGCACCTGACTTGCTCAGTGTCCTGATATTGACTGTGTCTTCCTCTGTAGCCAAAATGCATGTATTTTGGCCAAAAATTCAGTCATATGGAGATACCATTCTTCAAAAGTTTCATGAAAGTAAAACTAATGTTCAGGTTGTAGTTGTATATTCCCTTTTTGAGGAATGGACAGGAGTACTTAAAATCTATTAACACCAGACCTTCAGTGTCTAAAACCCTGGAATATTACCACTAACAAAGATCAAGTGGAAAGGGAACCTTTTAGAAACACTGAGACAAAGCAAATGGCACGCATGGTATTTCTCTTTAGCCTCTAAGGCAGTAAAGTACCAGATGTCCTACAACAAAGTCTGTGGGGACTGTGGAACCTAATGGGCGTAGCCAGAGTGCTCAGCTTTAAAAAGCTCTTGTGCTTATAAAAACAAGCAACTTGGCACCATTAACTCCATATGTTAGGTTTAAGACTTTTTCCAGCCTGCGTTTGATTTACTTAAACACTTGTAATGCTTACCTTTTGCATTAAAAGGGAGAATATAAATAAGTTTGTTCAGCTCCTAATGGGGGTCTTTCACATAGTAGGTTGCTTAGTAAATATTTGGTGACTGTATTAGCTGGCATCTTCTAATTGTGCAGTTGGAAAAGGAAAGGTCAACTGCAATTGATCTCTCAAGTTGCATAAGCGACACAAAATACACAATGACTTCATTATCTGGTGGAGAGGTCAGGAGATAGTCAACACGATGAAGAAAATCCAGAGCAGAACTGTTGAGTACAAAGTCCCTAATTCAACCATCTTAAGGACCATTGGTTAAATTCAAGGTACATAATGCAGAGATATAGTTACAAAATGACCAAAGACCACTCCTTCAAGTTCTATTTCCTGAAAGCCTACAGACTATCCAGATAGGGTATTATTATCCGAGATTGCATTATTCAAATGCTATCCCCGTAAGCTGTGTTCTGTCCCAAAGATGCTGATTGTTTTCATGGCACAAGGTATATCACCTATGTCCTGATGCGTTTCAAGCCTTCATTTCCAGCTCTGGGTTTCTTACTCCTTTCAGTCCCATGTGGGAAGATGGCTACTGGACATTCCTGTGTGGATGCCAACTTCCTTGAAACATATACTCTCGGTGTGTCTCGGTGTGTCTCGGTGTGTCTCGGTGTGTCTCGGT